TCCCTGCTGAGAAGCTCTCAGCTGGCATATTCAGTGCACAGTGAACAGGTGTTTTTGTAGCCAGTGAAGTAGTGCAAGAAATTTTAAGAAAAATAACAGTTGGAAAACTGTTTATTTCTGAATGAAAACATATAAAATCTCCCATTTAAAATCATTGTCCAAGTCATACAAGCACATGCAATGTTCTCTTCCAAGTTCCACCAGTAACATAACTCTCTGACTGCTTAAGCTCAGCGCCGTTTCACTGAAGTGAAAGAAAGACATATATAACCACCTAAATAAGATGATCCTTTTTCAACAAATTTAGACACAAAACATGTTCAAAAAGTTTTATTATGCAGATGTGATAGAGAGAAATGAATTGTCATTACTTGCTTCCATGTCAATAATCACCTCCTGAGGAGTTACAAATAATATTGGTTCCTTTACTCATGGCACCTTCCATCCATCATCTGTTTCCTACCATACCTACACCTAGGAATGGCATTTACTAGAATAAAAGTAACTAGTTAGAGTCAATGTGTCTAGTTTAAAGTTACGTTTACTACATTTACCAAATGTAACTAGGACAAATAAATGCAACTAGTAACCAGTTACAGTTAGTGAATTCACTAACTGTAACTAGTTGGTGTGAATGTAACTAGTTGCATTAACTCTATTAGACCATTACACCATACTTTATACCTTTACTTGAACCACTTTATTATTAGGTATTATTACTCAGAGATACATTTTCAAGTACAAGAACAAGCTGGTTTTAATGGAAATATCATTCAAGATATAAGCTGACAATTAAAAATGAAAAATTAGAATACTGTTTTCAACACAAGCTTACATTCGATCTCCTGAGAAATCCAGGATATTTAGAAATCAAGTTGATATACAAAAAACTGCAGATATTGTCATGGGTACTGAGTCTTAGGAAGAGCTACCAATACTGCCCAATGAACTAGAGAGATCGCATACGCCTTAACTTCATACATAAAAAACATGTTTTTATTGTTTCTGTAATTTCTCATTTTCTTTTACATACTGTTATTATGAAATCTCTATACATGCTATATAAATTTTTGAAGTAAAATAAATGTTAATCTTAGCCCACTGGTGAGTTGTTTTTGTTTTCAGAGGATGCTGACGACACACGGTCAAGAGGTCCTAAAAGGCCCCCATGGTGCCCGGGGGCACTATGTCGGTGACCCCTGCTTTAAACTATTCTAGCATGTATTCATTACTTACTGTAAGGATTGGTTTGGTAAGTTTTATTTTTGGTTAAAAAAAAGAAATTGCAAATTGCTTTACTTACTTAAGTTTATTTATTTTGCAAACATGTCATTCATTTCTATGAATCATTTAAATGTAGTGCTTAAAATACCAGAATTTGCTCAGACTTTAATATTTTATTCTATCTTGTTACATTCTTTGAAATACTCCATCAAAAACGAAGTGATACTTTATTAATCTCAATTGAATAATTTCCTTAATAGCTACATTTACTCGAAATTTTTTAGATATTCTACCCATCCCTGTCCCTACCTGTCAATATAATCTATTAATGAAAGTGTTGATAGCAGATGCCCAGCTGATATTTCTCTTCAGGATGGTGTCACAAGCAAACAGGAACAGAGAGATGAAGTAAACTATGATGAGAAAAAGAACGTAAAACAAGGGGTTGAAAAAACAAAGATGGAATAAGGCACAATGATGAAAAGTGGTCTGAAGGTCCTCCAGCAGCCTAGGCCTATAGCAGCATAACCATAAAAATAGCTCAGGATAACATAAGTCATTTTGAGCTTTATCAAAAATGAAAATATGTAAAACAGTGGGTCCGTAGGAACAGGGTTTAAGACCCCGGTTACTGATGAGACATTTTCAATTAAATTTGCCTGATAGTTTCCAATTGGGATGAGATCCCTGGAGCCCCTGGATGGGATGTACACGCCACAGGTATACATAGATAGTAGTCATCACAGTAGAAACAGACAATAAAGGGGCAAAGCACTCTGGCAAGGTCAGGGCTGTGTTTTACTTTAGAACAGGGATGGGCAACCCCAGCCCAAGAGTGTCTAAAGGAACATGCCGAAAAGTTACTTAATACTTACTTAATTAATCTTTTCAACCAACAAACTGTAATAGCTGCTGTTGCTTTGGTTCCAGCTTAATGCACTGATTGTAACCTTTGTCATTTGCTCCTCAAAATTAAAGTTTGTTTCCATTGCAATTTAACTACAAAATGGGCCAGTCCCATACAAACATGAATATCCAAAAATAGCTTACATCTATTAATGATAACATACAAAATATTGTGATGAAATCACCATTTTTTTTTCTCCCTGTAACATGTTAGTCGAATTTATCTCATAAGAGGAGGGTCCAATTAAGAGGGCCACAGGCGTACATAGAGAAAGCAGTGGAGTTGGGGATGTGATCACAGTTGAATCTGTACACCTGTAATAAACAAGGAAATAAAGACTTGCATAAGCTTCATCATTCAGCTTGAAGAGAAAACTTGGGCCTCCTTCTGATTTGCCCACCATCGTTGGGAGAGGCCAAAGGTGTTTGGTGTAATGTGAAATGTGTGACGGTTGGGTACAGAGACCTTGGCGGTTCAATTCTAGGCTGCAGAAGCTGGCTCTCAGGATGTTGGATGTTCTGGTGGGGAATGAGCCTGAGCAGGTGGGTGAGACAGAAAGGTTGTGGTTGGAAAAAGTCGGACTCACCTCGATTCATGGATCATCAAGTCTCCCTGAGAAGGGTAGGACACTTCCACTTTGATGTGGCACATCAACCAATCAGCTTCTCTGATTGGGTAATGTGGTGCATCGAGCAGCAAAAGTCAAATTTTTTCAAATCCAACATCTGCTGCTTGTGCAGTGCATCCAGCGCGTCAGATACTCATAAGGCGCTGCTTAAGCTGCTCAGACGCTCATCAAGATGCGCTTCTCCTGATGTTCGAAACGCATTGCAAGACCTTTTGATGCTCCTTGATGCTCGTCAATCATAGACTTTGCATGTAAACTAGCTGCTTCTGCTACCTCTATCGCGTGCAGTTAGCATTACCCATACCTCTGTAACCCTCTACTACTCTTTCTGCACTTCCGTCCCTCTCTCACTTTGCTGTCACCACTGATTCTGACAAGGGATTTTTCCTTATCGTCATATTGATCATAACTGTAAAATTGTGTCTACTTTGTAAGTTGCTTTGTATAAAAGCGTCTGCTAAATGCATAAACACAAACATCTACAGCCCTTGTTGGAGCAGTTTGCAGAAAAGTGTGAAGCAGCCGGGATGAGGATCAAATTCAAAACCATTGTCTTGAGTTGGAAATGGGAAGAGGCCCATCTCCAGGTTGGAGATGTTCTGCCCTAAGTGCAAGAGTACTAGTGCCTTGGTTTACTGTCCACCAATGAGGAAAATGGAGTGGGAGATTGATAGGGGGATTGATAGGGCGATTGGTACTGTGTCAGCAGTGGGCACGGTATCGGTCTGTCATGGTTAAGAGAGAGCTGAGTCAAAAGTCGATGCTCTTAATTTACCTACATTTCTGCCCTCATCTCTTTTCAGGAGCTTTGAGTCTTGACTAAAAGAACAAGATTCACAATACAAGCAGCCGAAAGTAGTTTTCTCCACAGGGTTTCTGCCTCAGATATAGGTTGAAAAACTCAGTCATCCGGGAAGGACTCAGAGTAGATCCGCTGCTACTACACGTCAAAAGGAGCAAGTTGAGGCGGCTCAGTCATATGGCTAGAATGCCCCCTTTGTTTGTTCACCATAATCTTTTTTTCTTAAATAATACATTTTTTACCAGATGTTGTAAAAGATGTTTACTTAACGTTAGAATAAATGCAAAGCAGGACAGAAAATTGGAGTTTCTCTTTAGACAATGGTGCATAGTTTTACATAGAGAGGATAACATAAGACAGTGGAGCCCTTTGGAGTATCCATGCAGTATGGAAGTTTTTTATAATCACATTTTATAACAACATCCTATGGACATTCACAGAACATCTGTTAAATGTCAGAACTCCACCCTATTTCCAACCTTGATACAAAAGAGACTTATTTTAAAAAGATTACTCACAGCTGCAAAAATGTATTAAAAATGAAAACTGGTTTCATTATCTTAGCCATTGAAAACTCAGGTAACATGAATGTCAAACCTGTACATTTAATATTTGACTTTCAGATGATGTTCAGCCAAAATCATCCTTAACCTTTGGTTACTGGGTAAGGGTTTAAAAACTAATATATCTTTGAGTTGTATGGGTTATTTGATCCGCACATTATATTCGACCGCTAAAAATAGAGACTGATCCAATATTCCGATTGGATGTCAGCTCCAATATTGAGTAATTAGCTGGATCTGATATAACTGACAATTAAATAACTGATCCAGTATTCCGATCTAGTCATTTCTATTCTTTTTGATATTATACACAGCAATACAGTTTCAGTGATTTAGTGATTTCAATGTTTTGATGCCACTTCTGATTCCATCATCACGCAGAGCACACACTGCAGCCAGTGAAGATTTATGTCTGTCAGTTTTTTATCTTTTGAAACTATATTTACATGGCAAGGTATAAGGTTAAGTCAATAAACAGTATTATCGGATCAGTATTGTATATTGGCTCTTAAAATCAGCCTCTTTATTGATATAAGATTGAATCCTAAAAACATTAATCTGTGCATCTGTAGCTAAAATAGGGCCAAAGCCTCATGATTCTGGCCTGACCGATCACCAATCTTTACATTCTGCTTTACTACTCACTACCAATAAGCCCTACTCTGCTAGCCTTGTCTCCTGGCTTCATAAGCCTCTACAGGTGATCCAGTCAGTGCCACATTTCTTCAGTGACGTCATTACCCTGCTGTCAGGTTTCGGAAAGTAAACAAAAAAAAGTATTCATGTCTCCACCAGAATCCTGAAAAGATTAGAAACTTGTTTATGAGTTTTCTTGAAAACATTAAACTCATTCCCGCCACTCGCCTGTCTCTACAGCTCAGCAGTAAAGGTGATCAACAGTGCCAAATTCCTGGGGGTACACATCATAGACAACCTCACTTGGACTGTAAACACCTCCTCACTGGTCGAATGTGCATGTACTTCCTGCAGAGGATGAGGAGAGGACCTGCACCCACCCATCCTCACCACCTTCTACAGAACCACCATAGAGAGCGTTCTGACCAGCTGTCTCACTGTGTGGTGTGAAGGCTGCAGCACTGCGGACTGGAAGAAGGTGAGAAGAGTAGTGAGAACAGCAGAGAGGATAATCGGGGCTCCTCTACCCTCCATAAAAGACATTTCATCTCTGCGCTGCATGTCCCGAGCCCGTAACATCATCGGTGACTCCTCACACTCCCACCATGGACTGTTCTCCCTGCTGCCCTCTGGGAAGAGGCTTCGCAGCAATCGATGCAGGTCCAGCAGATTCCGGAACAGCTTCTTACCCACTGCCATCAGACAACTGAACTGTTAAGAAAACTCTAAATCACGTCACAGACTCTGCATCACACTGACAACACCAAACCAAAACACTACATATACGCACCGTATACATTTAATGCTCTGAACTTCCGTATCAATGTGTTTCTTTGCACCATGTTTTTACTTCTCAGTTTTTCACCCCCAGACTGTTTACATTTGATCTTTGCCACACTTTAAGGAATGTTAATGTCATGAAAGTTGTACAAAAATACATTTTCTTTTGTATGCACTCTGTGTATAAAAAATGACAATAAAAGTTGTCTAAGTCACAGTCTCTACCTCCACCTTTACCTCTTCCTGTCAGTGGCCTCAGGTTATCGATGAGGATTTATAAAACTATCTAGGATGTTAAAGTAAAACATTAAGATACCTGTGAGGATCATAGGCAGGCAAGGTTTTCAGAGGAGACATATGGTAGACCTAAGCCACAGGTAGGCATCACATTAGGAAGGAAGGCATGCACTCAGTGGGGGCAGACTTTATGCTACCGCTCTGGTTGAAGTGACAGATGTGTGGTGAATCTTTAGCTCTGCAAACTCCCCACTGTCCCTGCATCTGTCCCCTTTCTCTAGCAGGATGGCCCAACCCCTTCCTGTGAGAATAATAACAGGCTAAAGTGGGAACTATCACTGGACTTATTGATTAGTCCAGGTTGCCCTGGCTGGCTTCATTTAATGACCTTTGGGAGTCATTATTGAAGAGTCATCGTCTTTATGATCCGTTCACACTTTCCCTTAACATATGGGAATCCTCCTGTTGCGACCTCAAGGATGAGATTTACAGCCGTCTTCAACAGGAAACATGTTGACTTCAGACAGAAAATCTTAAAGATGTTGATTTCTTCTTTTACAGATAAAATAAGTCACAATGGACAACAAACATAAAAACATCGACATGAAGATGGGGCAGAGGCTTATGCTCCAATCTGAAAAAGTAACAATATTCATTGTCTGTAATTAAATCCTTCCATAGAAAACATATCACCAACAGTTAAAAATGATACATCCCACTTTTCCCGTTTACACGTTCTGTCTAATCTCCTCAGACGTCCCAAATGACAGGGACAGTGTCCCACTCTGTTTCCCCACTCAGCCATGGCACTGGCAAGAGATGGTTTATTTTAATTGAAAATTAGCAAAACAAAACAAGGGCAAGAGGATCCCTGAATAGGGCCCCTTTCTCCGGGAGCTCCTGTGCCGTTGAATAATGCATATGGGAGAAAGTAAACAGCAGCCGTGGGCCTTGCTGGGGGAACAATGGGCTGCACACAGCCCAACCAGGGCGCCTGATTTTATTACTGGCCTGTCAATCCCCCCAGCCTGGGAACTGTGGGACCTAGGCCAGGCAGCAGCTGCTGACCGCTCTGTGCTGACCCAACACTCCCAGAAACCTGCAGGAGGAAACTCTCACACCGCTGCATACCTCTGCCCAGCACACTGTCCACTCCTAATCTATCCATTCATACACTCAGCGTGGGCTAACTGATTCAATTTCCTGTCTGACTAGATGGTCAATTCAATTTCACCCTGACTTTATCAAAGTTAGCTATTTTAGATATACCAGCATCAAAGTTCAGGGGTGATGTAGAATTTCAACTGCAACTCTTTAAAACTGATTTTCTCATATTTCTCATGAAAAATAAATTTAATTTTGACATGGTAGATTCTCTCATTTTGAAGGTTCCAGTCTGTGGTCACCAAGGCTGCTTCTGAACTTTTTCATCTCACCAGAACACTGTTGTGTGTGTGCGCATGTGTGTTTCTGTGTGTTCCCCTTTCTACATTGAGATTCTGGTCTTGCTTCTGGTTTCAGCCAAGTCCCGGTTGCCATGCCTACTAGTGCCTGGTCTCCCAGGATGAGTAATGATGTGATGTGGCTGTGCTTTAGAGTCCCAACAAAGACCTTATTACCACTGCAGCACCTCATAACACCCCATTGTTGTCAAGTGCTCCTGATATTAACCTGCTTGCTCTGGGGCTTCCTCTCTCTTAATGCAGAAGAGGTGTGTGTCTCCATATGTGTGCGAGTGAGTGTAGTCAGGTAAGCAATTTTTAGGAAAAAAAAAAAAGAAGATGAAAGTTAACAGAGACCAGCCAAAGTTTAAATTTAGAAGTGCTGCATAAACTACTTATAATACACAATTGGAAGGGTTTCCATCATAGCGATTTGACAACTCTAATACAAGTTTTCATCTTGTTGTTGTTGTTGTTGTTGTTGTTGTTGTTGTTGTTGTTGTTACATTCTGTCATAGAGAAATATCTATATATTGAACATGCCAAATTACATTTTTGGTACTAAATGAACACCACACACGTTATGTTCCCCTACCCACTGTGAAGCATGGTTGTGGTTGCCTAAAGCTGTGAGCATTCCACTTGGCTCAGTTTTAAACTTTTAATCTAGTTTTCACAAAATAAAAGAGTACTTTTCACCCAAAAGGAAATACATAGAAAAAAAAATGCCAAACTCAATGCATAAAAAATGCAGACCTGATGTAACATCATAAAAAAAAGTGTTTAAGGTTTTCATGAAATATAAGTATTTACGCTTTTAGGGTTGATTGTCAAATCTTGTGGTTATTTTCTTGTTTTGTTAGCTTTAAAAAAAAAAGTTACTATATCAGAACTGTGTGAAAGTGGGCCTGTTAACACAGTAAAAGAAATATTGTGCATTTTTATTTTTAAATGCTAGAGGGAAATCAGTGTTTTTATTGTTCTCCAGCTAAGTCAAAGTCTTTCCATGTTTTTGCTGTCACCACGATTCATGGCTCGAAGAGAAACTTAATATCTGAACAATAGGAAAGATCTGTGGATGTTGTTAGATTATCTACATTCTGAAGCCTCATATAATGTCAAAATGTTTTTGTAATGAACAAAACAAAGCTCAAGATGCAGCTTGCATTTATTTTTTAGAATAAAATTGTGTATTTCTTTTGAGGACACAAAAAGAGATGCATCACTTTACTTGGACTTTTCACTTTATTTGGATTTAGTTTTTACATACGCATAGATATATGTACAGATATATATACAGAAGAGCTATATGTGTATATATTTGATCTCTTATTAATTCTTATTTTTTATTTTTATTATATTGTATAGTTGGATGTGTGTATATATCATGTAAAACTGTAAATGGAGCGTGTAACAAAAGTAATTTCCCTCTGGGATTATTAAAGTATTTCTGATTCTGATTCTGATCACTTTTTTAAAATACTTTGCGTGATTATGGAAGTTTAATTGTATTAAATGTCTCTTTAAAGCTCTTATATTCTGGTAAGATTGACCCAGAATAAAGCCACAGTTTGAAATGTATCACTGTAAATATACTGAGGCTTCATCAGCTATGTCACTGCAAACATCAAACTTTTTATTCCCTTTTATGAAATTTCAAAATAGCTTATCACTGATAATAAAAGCTGTTTAAACTCAATTATTCATTGAGGTGACTTTAAACATTTCATTATCACTGATTAGATAACTTGATGTAAACATTAGGAGGGGAACTTTGCTTATAATCAAACTGAAGATATATCTTTTAATTAGATTGCGTCCATTTTCAATTACCTTTGTTATTTACAATTTGTGTATTTACGGTGTGTGTGGTATTTTATTTCATTTTTTAGCTGCTTTTACCTTGTCCAAAATGCTCTTTAAGGGGAGATTTGAAATCAAATTTTTTCCCTTGTAAATAATGTACAGGTTGTACATTAATTACAGAAGTAATTAGATATGAATACAATAACTACATTGATTACAAGCAATAATTATAAATCTATCTGGCACTCCTATGAGATCAAATGGCGTTCTCATGCCTGTGTACCATCCACAGTGCCAGACCTCAGCAAAGTGCGAAGTTCTATAAAACAAGGGTTGTGTCTGGGTGTGTTTTTGTGTGTGAGACACTGATGCACAGCTATATAGGCAGGATGATGCCACAGGATGTTTGAATGTTTGACTTGGCTAAACAACATCCTCTGAGAGAGACGCCACAGGCTGCAGATGGAGTGAGAGATAAAAACAACTGTGATCCAGGCCTCCACACCAGCCATTGTCACTGCTTATCTCTGTAAGGCTTTCTACTAATGACAAGTAGGAGAGAGGTGGAAATACAAGAGGGGTTTGTCACAGAAGAAAATTGAAACACATATATGTTTTTTTTTTTGTTTTTTTGGCTAATCAAGTTGTAATTTGGGGAAAGTTAGATCCAGAGAAAGCATGCCCAAATTAAAAAACCCAGTGAAATCACTAAAGTCTGCAAATAGCAACATATGCACCTAAACAGTTCTTAGCTAAAAAAAATGAAGTTGTCTTTACTTTTCTCACAAAAGTTCTGTAAATATTTTTGAAATATTGCAGAAATGTTTTAAATTTTTTAGAAATTCTTTATATAGGCTATTTTGCCTGTTTTGTCCCATCATTATGGTAACATTGTAATAATAACATTGTAATAATGTTTTTTCTAAAAATGATAACATATTATGCAGTGTTATTCAAAATAATTATAAATCAACAAGTTAAAGACTAACAAAGAAGTGCAAGGCTAAAAAAAAGACGTGATCCAGCAAAGAGCAGACACATAACTTGGGAGATGCAATATCCTTTAGCTCTAACAATACATTGGGCATTTAAGATTGTCCAGTTTCTATCCTTATTTTCCCCAGAAAATTCCAGTTTAGTCTTTTTAACTAAAGGACCTAAACCATGACCTAAAATGATTTTTTTTTTTACACATT